AGTGACAGTTTCTATGAAGCGAAGCGTATCAGTAGGTTTTGCGAAAGTCAGCGAAATTCGTGGATTTGATAACGGGCAGCTGGAAATAAACGAAGAAATAAAAATTCATGCACCGGAATGAAGATATTGGAAACGACGTAATATCACGGTAGCATTCGGTCGACCGATTAGAAACGCTCCTAGATATCGCGTACCGAATGTTTTCATGTAGCGATTTTCGTAAAGTTCCTAAAACTGCATATAAAGTTCTATTTGAATCCAGCATCGCAATTGGGCGACACGTAAAGGGATGGGCTGGGCTGGGGGGATCATCTCCAATGTTCTAGAAGCTCGCAAGGCGTAAAGGCCTGTCCACACGGAGACGCTCTGGCGTTGCGGTCAACTACACAGCTTGTTCGACTACCAGATCCTAACTCCTACTGGCTCACCAGGCCCTTTGGTGATTAACGAGAGGTCAAACCTACGGCACCCAAAGCGCGAGCAAATACTCTACTGAAATTGGGTTCACTGCAGGCCCGATTGAACCACCCGAGTACGAAGGTTCCTCATTCCTCATTCCTCATTCCTAGCTAATACGGAGCGTCCTGGGTCGGACTAGTTTACTAGATTTTGAGTTCCTCGTATGAAATACGGAAGCAAATAAGAATCCGAGCGGAAGAAGAAAAATTGAAATTTGAAGGTGAAACATTGTTATGAAATTTTGGAAATTACTGGAACCCACGCCAATGGCTATGCACTTTATTAGTCAATAGAATATACTTAGCGTCATATCCTATTGGAGCGAATGTCACAGGGAGAAAAGAGATTCCGTGCGAGTTCGCCACTTTATCGGATTAGTCGACTCTTGGGAAAATCCAGAAGGAAAACGCGAACGCCCAATCCTAGTTCTTCTTTCTAATTCACTAATTCGTCCCGACGCTTTCGGCTTCTTCCTTAGCGTCGATATTAATCGAGAACCTTCATCCTGCACTCTGCCTCATAGTTATCAGAATTCTTGGACACGCAATCCTTGTATACCTCTCACGTTTTGGGATCTCGGAGCCTTTTCTTCCTCTTTTGGAAATTGCCCCGACCTCTCTGCTTCGTTTCGTTCGATTGTGATTTTCTGGAATTTTTCCTTTATACGTTAAAACAACGTACACGATTATCTGGAAAACTTGTTACGGATATTAAAAAAAAGGGAATAAATTCGAAATAAAACTTTCCTTCTTTCCTTGATAACGAAGTTTTAGGTACCAACGTCAAAAAAAAAATTGTGAGCATTAGAAAAAAAAAAGTTCTGGACACAAAGAAAAGTAACTAAATTCCAAGAAAATATATTGAATCCTGTAATTTTCCTGATTTTCCCAATGCTACCCTTCGTATCCGTACACGTGACGTTCAGACTCATTTTGACTAGCAAGTTCGAGGCAACTTTTTTTTCGAGCTATTGTTTATTCAGAAACGTATCAGGAGCGTGGGAGGGGGCGTCGGTGGTGTTCGCCGACGCTGGGTATTACGGCTGGTATAGGATAAAGGGAGAGAGGGTCGTGTGAATAGAGTTTCCGGTGGGATGGCGAAGTCCGGTCGGTTTCGCAGACTCGCGCTTCCGGTCAAGCTACCGTTGCCGGTCCGGATCCCCCTAGAACTCCAGGAATTGAACCAACCCTCCGACGGCATGGTTAGCGTCACGGGGAGTGGAGCTTCCGAAATAGGCTTCGCTAATTAAGATATTGATTCTTATTGTCCTCGGATTCGGTCTTCGTGGCTGCCGCAGACACGTCCAGGATGTCAGAGTCTCTCGTATCGAGTCTGTTCATCATTGCATCTACCATACCGACAGATCCACTCGGTAGTTTAAAACAGAACCAAACCCAGACACACGTTAGCCCAGCTTCGAACCCACAAAACGTACATTGCAGGACGCATTGATTTCACTCGTAGCACCAGAGTCTGAGTGTACATTGAGTTAAAGGAGGGTTAAAAGGTACACGAGAAGAACTGGCTACCTGTGGAATCTTCCTGAAACGGGACCCTCGAAGAGTCGATGCTGCGAAGGAGATAAATCGCGATGAGAGCTAAGGGCAGGAAGGGAGGCGCAGGGGTGCAAGCTTAGGATGGTGGATTTTCATGGGGGTGGTTTGTAAAACCTGAAAGAGACAGCGCGAGCAGCTGCGGGCTAGAGCAAAGATAAAGAGAGGTACAGGAACCAGAGTCGTAAAGGATGACCAGGCTGATAAATATCTTTATGGTCCAGGAGGAGGAATCGTTTGCCGGGATGCGACGGTTCCTTCTCTCTCTCTCTCTCTCCCTCTCACACACATCCCAGCCACTTGCCGGATCTGCACTGAGGAAGACAGAGTGCCGGGAGTAAAAACGAAATAGAGGGCTCTCGCGGTGCTTGGAATCGGGTAATTATGAGGATTAATCTTAAGTCCCGTAAAGTCCACCACTTGTGGAGCCACTGTTTTCTGTCTGCGAGCCCCCTGGGGGATCTCGGGTGAGAACCGATTGCAAGCTCACAGCCTTGAAAAGCGTCGAGACGCGATTCATTTCGAAGAAAAAATCTTACACGGGTACGGGAAACAGGTATAAGGGTTGTTAGGTGTGTAGAAAAACAAAGAATAACAAAGGTACCCCCTTCGTTACGGAAATTAGGATCGACTTGAAAATCGACATGAATTCTCGTCCTCGTAGCTTCAGGGCGAGTGTAAGAGTGAGACCTTTTTTTTTAGATTTTTTTAAAGCCACTTGCCACCCCCTTGCCCTTTATCCTTTTCAACCCCCACTCGTTCCCGCCGAGTCTCTCTCTCTCCACGTAGCGCAGTGCCGAGTACGTATGTAGAACGTCGAAGCTACAGGTGTCAGCGAGAGCAGTATTTTTCAGAGAGCGGTGAGCAAGAGAGAGACGGAGTATGTGTATACAGGAGAAAGAAAGTGTGATGGAGATAGAGCGAAGCCAACAGGGAAAGGGACGGCTAAACGTGGCAGGGTAGCCGAGTGCCGGCACGCACGCTGAATCTGCTAAACGTTTTCACTCGTGCGTGAAATGCCTCGATATCACTGTTTTATTTCGGTCCATTCTCATCTCTTGCTCGATCCCATTCACTTTTTCCAGGAACAAACGGAAAATCAAGGACGCGTAAGAGGAAGGCCCGACAACCCTTAGAAATGAAAAAAGGACGCATTGCCAAGGTCAATTGACATTGTAAAGGGGTAGGGTGAGTCAGTAGGGGGTAAGCGAATCGATAAATGTAGATATAAAAAATTTAATTAATAATTATTAGTCCAAGAGAAACGCAATGGCGATACTCGACGTTAATCCTTGGAAGATTAATGAGCTAGCACCAGGAGCCGCGAAAACGCCATGGCGCACCCTGCGGTGGTTGCGGTGAAGCACCCCTACCGTACCCACATTAACGCAATTATGAATTTGTCGCGTTGGGATCTGACAATACAAGATGCTGCTGGCTCCTTCCGCCTTCCAACTCTAGTTCCAACCACCGCCGCTAAAGACGGGGATGGCGCCCTTGTTAGACCCAGGGGGCAGGATGCTCTGCGGATATATCTTGGCTCGCGGTGCGGGTCAGGATCGTTGCGGTTTGCCGCAGGCGACTGCTGCAGTCTCCTTCCTTCGGCCCTATTCATCCACCCTTGTGCTCCCTCCGTCTTCAACCCTTTGGTCTTATCGCTCATCCCCATTTTCTACCAGCCATGAACATTTCCAATATCAGGATCCCGCCGATAAATATCAAGCATGAAAATGTCTGGACGATACTGGACCAAGTTCTGAACTGATCTGATCACGGAACAAATCCTTGGACCAGCCTAAATACACGGTGCTGGGTCTTTGAATACTAGCTGGCACCACGTACTGCCTCTAGTCCTTACCTATACCCACTGTACGTACCCGTCTTCTATATAGGGATTGGTGAGTGCCTAGTCAGCCCTTAATATCATAAGAGCTGGACCCACGCAAACAACCCTGGCAGACCTAACATAACCTCCGGTAAGCACTGGAAAGCCCAGTGTGCTCGCATACTAAAGTTGCCCTGGCCTATTATCACTAACTAATAATGGCCCTAATTGAAACGTCGGGCTTTTGTTTCCAGTTCTACCTTCGACCTTTGCGCACTCCATTCCTTCTCCTCTTGGTTGCTTCGACCCTTAAACATCCCTATCATTGCGTCCTCGGTATAGCGGGGTAGCCAGTGCTAAATTGTATTGTATACATTTCAATCGGCTGATCCGTTAGCGGGTACTGCTGGCTCGTGAAAAGAGTGAAGGAAAAGGTGTATGTCTTGGATGGTCGGATTCGCGTGTCACCAGGGGGAGGCGAAAGGGGGGTCGAAACAAAGTTATTTCCTCGAGCCGTCCTCAGGGAAAACTTTGACTGGAATAATAATATTAACGTCTCCTTCAATGCTGGGGACATATAGCGTATAGGGGATTGCGGGCTATAGAGAAGAAGGAAAGGAGTCTATGGGAGCAATCAACCCTGAAACAACTACCCCATACTATTCTGTAACCGTGATATTTCCTATTCCACGTATATTCCCTTATTTCTATGTACCTACGTATAGCTACTTGGAAGTTGATATTATTCCTCCCGGATGCAATCATATTAGTTCCCGAAGTTATTAGAATATTTATGCGCTTTTGATGTGGGGTTATGCATGATTCCAAACCCCGGACTGTTATCCGGACTGGTCCGTAAATATATACGTACGCGTACGCAGGTGTATATTGACCATGTGGTGAATACGCAAATCATAGAGTCCTGTGGAGAAAGTGGGAAAATGACATTGTTGCTACATCGAGAACCGCCTAAATATTTCGTAGGGGTAATTTTTCCCTAAATAAACGGGGGTGATTGGGTGTCGCGATTGGGGTTGGTTGCGGTTATAAAAAAAAAGGTCAAAATCCAAAATTCTGAACCGCAATATAAAAGTGCGAATGGACGAACGATACGCGCTAAAAGTAATAGGTGCTCGTATTCGGCAGAGGGTTCAAAAGTTTACCTTGTTGGCGTGCGTTGGGGCTGACCGGTCGTGTGAGAGAGGGTTGATGCTCCTCCGTAAGGGTGGCCTGGCGCGATTTACTCAAGTAGAGCTGAAACAAGGATTAAAAAGTCAAAGTTAGTGGGGGTGTGTGCTGTGCCAGTGGGGG